AATTTGCATATCAGTAATTGATGGTCTGTTCCACAGTCTGCCCCTGGCCTTGTTTTCACTGATGATATGGAGCTTTTCCATCTTCTCTTTCCACAGATCTAGTCTACTTGATTTATGTGTGTTCCATCTGGCAAGGTCCATGTGTATAGTCATCTCTTATGCTGTCTAAAGAATGTATTTGAAATAAACAAATCATTTGTCTTGCAGAAATCTATCATTTGTTCTCCAACATCATTTCTATCACCAAGGCCATACTTTCCAACTACTGGTCCTTCCTCTTTGCTCCCAACCTTTGCATTCCAATCACCAGTAATGAGCAATACATCTTGATTGCATAGTTGATCGATTTCAGACTGAAGAAGTTGGTAGAATTCTTCTATTTCATCTTCACTGGCTTTAGTGGTTGGTGCATAAATTTGAATAATAGTGGTATTCAAAATTTTAATTTTAGGCATTATCATATATATGGAAATATGGATGACCATATACAAGTAGAAATTATTTTGTTTAAAGTAATTGAGAATAAAGTTCTGTAGCACAATTATCTTAGGAAAGACAAAAGAGTTTCTATTTGTGCATCACAAAAGGCTAAAATACTTCAGAAAGCTTTTAAGATGAAGTATGTGGTCAAAGACACAGAGTTTTTGTGTTCTGTAGAATAAGCACTGGACTGTGAACCTCAAGGTAGCAGTTCAAGCCCACTAGCTGCTCCATTAAAGAAAGATGAGGCTTTCTGCTCCTGCAAAGATTTACATCCTCAGAAACCCTATCTATATAGGGTCTCTATGAACCTGAATTGATTCAGAGGTACTTAACAACAATAACAACATGTGATGAAATAAATATAGTCAGAGAATATTGAAAGAATGATTTTTAGAATAAATTATATCATATTTAATACCAGGTAGACCCTCATTTCATAGAGCGGACAGGATGTCATTTAGAATTGGGAAAGGGGAGGATTTCTAACAATTTCCAAGGTGGTACTGATAATGCTGATCAAGGACCTCCCTCTATAAACCCTTAGTATAGAGAAGTACTAACCAAACAGATAGCCAGATTTAGTGATTGAATCTTCAATTACACCTTTCACAGCCAATATTCAAGTTTGCTGTTGTTGTTAGGCGCCATCATGTCGGTACTAATTCATAATGACCTAATGCACAATAGAACAACACACTCCCAGGTCCTGCACCAACCTCACAGTTGTTGCTACATTTGAGCCCAATGCTGCTGCCACTGTGACAATCCATCTTATTGGGGACCATTCTCTTTTTCTATCACCCTCCACTTTATCAAAAGCAATACACTTCTCCATAGACTGCTCCCTCCTGTACGAAGTATGAAAGATGAAGTCAGACCATCCTGGGTTCCAAGAAGCATTCTGGCTGTACTTCTTCCAACACAGATTGGTTTGGTCTTCTGGAAATCTGTGACATTTCAATATTCTCTTCCAACACCATAACTCAAAAGCATCAATTCTTCTATGATCTTCCTTATTCACTGTGCAACATTCACATGCATATGAGGTTATTTAAAATACCATGACATGGGTAAGGCATATCTTGGTCCTCAAACTGACGATTTTGCTCTTGAACACTTTAAAGTGGTCTTGCACAGCAAATATGCCTGATGCAATGCCTCGTTGAATTTCTTGACTACATCTTAAAATGGTGTTGATGGTTGATTTGAGAAAATGAAGTCTTTGACACCTTCAATCTTTTCTCCATTTATATGGATGTTGTTTATTGGTCCAATGGTGAGGGTTTTTGTTGTCCCTAAGCAGA